TAAATAGATGACAAAAGACACCATAGAAACGGGTGATAACATATTCCTATGTCTTTAATGGAAACATATTATTACAATTTAGGTTATGTAATATTCTTGCATTTTTAAAACGTGTGAAAGAAAATGCACAGAATAAAAAGTCAAAGGACACCAGTGAATGCAGATATTTTAAACAACCAAATCATAGAAGAAATAAAATACATTACACAAATAACAAAGGTTATATCCACAGTCATGAATACGCACTCTCCTCTACACAAAAACAACAATAAATAAAGTCACATTATATGCAGATAGTTCTACTTACATCAGTACAATATACTGCACAGCTTTCAATTTGTTTTCTGCTCAATTGGCACTAGGTTTCTCTTCATCCAGTATTTTTCCATTAATAGGGAACAGCATCACCTTAAAAAAGGGGACAAAGTTCCTGTCCAGGAAGTGTCTATCCTGAGTCCCATTAGTTTTTGATTGTTACAACTTATGCACAAGAAACACAGCAAATTCTACCCATTGCCTTCATCCTGCCTGTCCAAATTTCTCAGCACTTTCAGACCTGGCCAGTACAGACTCTCGTTTCTGAGAGAAAGAGAAGTCCAGACCATCCCCAGGAAGAAAACAACACAGCTGTGCTCCTTGTGCCTGCTGCTAATGCACAGCATCAGAGAAAACTCTGTAGATAGGGCATGGGGGGCAGAATTGTGTGTTCCCTGTGCAGACCAGTTGACATTACAATAGAAACCCCTAAAATAATATTTTATTTTTTTTAATACCAATTTTGGTACCTTTTTGTTGCTCAGGTGTCCTCTAGAAATATTCACGTGACAGAAACACTGAGGAACAGTTCACACAGAGTGGATTTTAACCTTTTCAAGATTTTTCATCTAATGAATCCACCTAACATTTCTGAATATAGTTTAACATACAAACTGTAACAGTGTCAGATTATTCAGAGTAATTTGTCTTTGATGCAGAATATTAATTTAGTAGCTAGTGAGAGATTTTGAGGGAACTGTCCCTCCTTTTTGCAAGTATTTTATGCTGTAAATTTGTTTTATGTCAGTTAGGACCTTCTAAAAGGTAAATTATGGGATAAGTAATTGCAAAATAAAAGTCTATATAGTGACATACTGGACACAAGAAAGGAACATTAACTGGAACATTAACCCAAGAAAGACTCAAAACTGCAGCAGCCTTATCTTCTTGATCAAAACCAGCAGTAACTCCATAAAAAGTCCAACACTAACCTTTTTCCTTTCTTCCTCTTTGCATGAGATAAAGGGGGAGCTGCACTTATGACAGACTTAAGGCCTCACTGGAGCAAACCACAGTGCTCAGGCTTTATGTTTTTATTCTTTAGATGAGAACAGACACTATTAATGTCTACTGCACAGCTTGCTGACCCTGCAGACAGCCAGGTCTGCTGTCTCTCACAAACAGCTATTTGTTTGAATTTCAACAATCATTTTTCATCAGTCTCAGAGCTCAGATGATAAAAGGTATCTGAGAATGGAAAACAATTCAGCCCTCAAGCCATTTGAATTAATTTCTGCCTCTAAGCAGGGATATGCACAGTGCAAACTCTTCCATTTCTTCCACTTGAAAGTTTTCACACACACACAAATCTTTTTGTGCTTTCAACAGTGAGAAGGAAAGGGGGGAGGAGAGGTGACACACACACAACATATCTGAAAGCAGAACTTTTCCCAGCATGTCCTGAAAAGTACATTCCAAGAGCAACGCCTGTGTTTCTTTGTTTCTAAAAAGGGCTAAAACTGACTCTTACAAAACATGCACTTTGAAATTTGTCCCTTTACAGCTCACTGTTGTGAGGTGAGTTACTATTGCATGTTGCTAATCAACAGAAAACGTAATGTACCATTAGAAACTGACATTTCTGTTGCCATGTGCCCTGCCATGGGGAAGGTGGTTCCTAGACTTGACATCATGTTATAGCAATAACAGTAAGGACTTAAAAAACCCAACAGGTAATTCTAGGTCTACAACTCTGATGGTGGCTGGTGTGGCCATGGTGCACAAGGTGCATTGACAGCTGAGCAGTGCTCAGCAATGAACCATGTCTGAAACTACATAAAAGCCAACACTCTCAGTGGGAAGGAGTATTTCTGACTAAATGATAGAAAATGGCTGTCTTCTTTTCAAAGTACTTCTGAACCTAGACAAAAGACAGTTGGGGGAAAAAAGTAATTAAAATTGTTCACTTGACTCTTGGAGAAAATGAGGAAAAATAACCTTAACTGCTTTACTGAAAGAACCAGAATGCCCACATGGCTACACTCTGAAGCATGGAGGAGGGCAGTGAAGGATGTGGAACTGTCTTGAGCTCCGGAAAAGGTGGACTGAATTGCCAAAGAAATTTATGACCAGGGCTATTTGCTTCCTGTCTTTGATGTCTATTCTTGGCTCTCCAGGAGCATTATGGCATTCATGAGGTGAAAACATCACTGGAGCCAAGGTCAGCTAAGGCTGATGCAGCCTGCTCCACTGCAGAGCTGAGAAACTCTGAACTGCTTCAAGCCTGCAGACACTCACTGATGTCCTGAATTTACTTCCACTGAATCAGTAAGAGGGGTTTTTTGTCAGTTTAATGTGTGATTGTATTTCTAAGCCAAAAAATGAATCAGAGACCAACCTCCCAGTAAAACATGTTGTCAGGGAGAACACTCTTTATTTTGTCCAGCAGAAATGTTTTCAAAGCATTAGCTACACCTTAATAACTCTCCACCGAAAAACTCCAACAAAATATTTCCAATAATGTGATGGCACATTGCTTAAGAACAAACTGAAAATAGATCAACATGGTTTATTTTCAGAAATTAATTAATACAACTCTTTAATAAACTGAATTCTGGTCACAATCCTCCAAAGTGCTCTCAATCACATTCAGTCACAAGTTTTAGCAAAGACTGAATGTTTTCAGAGCTCAGCTAGGTGTGGTCTTCAATGAAGCACACTAGAGCAGGAACTGGTGTTGGGGGTAGTCACAGACAACTGAGAACACACAAACTGTCCATAAACAGAAGTCTCAGAACTACCAGTGGCCCAGGACAAAGCACCTAGACATCTGACTCTGAAGCTGTGGGTTTCAGGAAACTAAATAACAGATACTTTTGAAGTTCTGCTTCATCTTTGTCCCTTGCAGTAAAGCCTGGGTGTTGAAGTTATGAAGGTAAAAAGGCAGGAAAACTGCCCATAGAACTCTCAGCAAGAGGATTCTGAGGTGAATCAGATATTAAGCTGATCACCATTTAGTTATTTTAATAAATACAAAATTAGGAGAATTTGTCAAACTTTAACAAACAGAGTGTGAAGCCACTAGTTCAATTTCAATTTAACAGGTACAACTGTAAGAATTAGCAATAAATATGGCTACACAGCCAGCCTTTCTTAAATTCAAACACATGGCAAATCTCCCTTTGGTTCAGCCACAGCCAGGATCATACCCTTTGGTCCCAAGCGAGCAAAGCACTTAGAAGCTGAAGCTGAGCATATTTTAAGTGTGTTCTGAAGTGCTGAGCTGAGTCAAGGGTCTTCTTGTGCTTCTCTGTAATACAGATGTATGTTTGTAATACGAGCAATTTGTTGAAGCCAAAAATGTAGGTTTTGAAACCTCTTTTGAGGATCAATTATTATTATTTTGATTAAACATTCCCTTACAGAGTTCGGAGCCTAAACATTGTGGCATTGAGCTAATGCAGATGAACCAGAAAGGAAAAGTGCATTAGCCAGTAAAGACTCTCTCTGCTGAATAATCTAAACTCAAGACAGCTTCTGATCTATGCTCCATGGAAGACTTGGGAACTAATAGCAAGAGGCCTGTGAAAGGCAGCTAAGAAGAGCAAGTTTATTTATGCTATGAAGGAATCTACTTATGTGAAATGTCTTAAATGATCTCCACACTTCCATGGGAAAAACACATACATGTGTATGCATCAATTTGCAAACATTAAAGCCCATTGATCTAAAATGCTCTAAGGTGCACAGAAGGTTCACCTTTCTTGGGAGGTGCTGAGATTCTGGCTAAGCCTAGGTCAGCACCCCACAACAGACACCTCATAGAAACACTTCCTGAGGTCATGATTTAAAACCCTACATAAAGGTTTTAAAGCATTAGAATTAATATTCTTTTTAAAAGTGACCTTTCACTACACTTTTTTTATAGGTATCATAAAATGACATAAAAAATAAACTGTCATAAGAATTTATTGTCCCAGCCAGATCTCCCGTCTTCTGGTGTGACTCAACTGTGCATGGCACAGGAAGAACGCACATTTACACAACTGTCTTGATTCCAACCTAGCCACTGTTTGAGTACTACTTCATACTGCAAAGCAAGTCACAACAAAAATAATTTCCAAAAAGGTCTTATGCTTCAATCATACCCTCTTTTCTCTACACATCTAAAAATTTTCCTCGACTTTTTTATTGTGGCAAAGAAAGAAAAAGAAAGAGTAGTCAAAAGGGTAAAAGAAAGTCAAAATACTGAAAGGCATATTTGCAAAACCAGAAGTAGAACAAAAGTATCTCAAAAAAATCCCAAACTTTAAACATGCCCAGGGAGGGGGGAACTCAACTGCTTGGGGGGGAAAAAAAATCTGGAAACTAATCAGGAAGTCGTTTTTCCTCCCCAAGTCCATATCAGTAAGAATGCTGCTCTAGACTACTTCTGGTGCCCATGAAATAAGGAGAATACTTCAGAAAACTGTCCACTGATCAGTGCTGCTTTGGCTAAAGCACCTTTGTAGAGGTCACACAGGCCCAGACTGGGAAATGGATGCTGGAAATCCATTTCCTGTAGTGGAGCTGCCCTGACAGTCAGGAAGGTTTGCTCTCTGGCTATCCAGGACATAGGACAGTATATCACAAGGGCAGGTGATGAACCCTCCATATGCTAGGAATAAATTTAAATGTAAGGGGAAAACCCATGTCCAACAACAAATAAAAGGTGGCAGAAAGCAGACACAGCGAGTTCTATCTGGAAACTAATCAGTAAGAATGCTGCTCTAGACTACTTCTGGTGCCCATGAAATAAGGAGAATACTTCAGAAAACTGTCCACTGATCGGTGCTGCTTTGGCTAAAGCACCTTTGTAGAGGTCACACAGGCCCAGACTGGGAAATGGATGCTGGAAATCCATTTCCTGTAGTGGAGCTGCCCTGACAGTCAGGAAGCTTTGCTCTCTGGCTACCCGGGACATAGGACAGTATATCACAAGGGCAGGTGATGAACCCTCCATATGCTAGGAATAAATTTAAATGTAAGGGGAAAACCCATGTCCAACAACAAATAAAAGGTGGCAGAAAGCAGACACAGCGAGTTCTTGCTATTCACTCCCAGGTATCCCAAAGTGGTTTCTCAGAGTTGGTAGCCTGGCCAACTGACTTTCAGGGCCTAGAAGTTTTGTATAAATCAGGCTTCAGAGCCAGATTTGAGATTAACTTTCAAGTTTGGCTAGAACTGCTCAGACCAGAAAGCTCTGCTTATGAAATCAGAATAGAATAAACCAAAATATTTAACAGACTCTTAGAATCAGAGTCATAGCTCTGTTTTCCCACTGACAACACTTTTGTGGATCTTCTTCACCACATTTGCAGTAAGTACAGTTAATTTCCATTTGTTGACTAGAAAGTGCAAAGCTCTCCTTTGTCTAGTATAAAATAACCTGTCAGTAGCTAATTCAACACAGATTCAGTTTTTCTCCTGGTACAATAAATGGCAGAATTTCCAGGGTACTGATGGCAGCAGGATTAAAGTCAGCCTCAAAGAGTGTTTTAACACATGATTCCTGAAGGTAGTTCCATGGGTGTTTAATTGTATACACATGGATGGTTAACTCTCACTGACTTCTATAGGACTCTTTAACATGTGAAAAATGCATTATTTACAGCATCAGGGTGATCATCACAGAGACAATTCAATAACTGCATTTGTGTTTTTTGAGTAACTATTTGAATGTTGCATAAGACTGGAGAAAAAAGTTGGGAAAAAATTCTATTACCATCCACAAAGTCATTTCTCCTCCCCTAAATACTGGTTCTGAAATGTATTTACAGCTGTTGACTTTCCCTGCATATTACTCCTATCATACAAAATATGTCTTCAAAACATCCTCTTCCTTAATTTTTAATCCTACCAAAGCAAAAATAGATACTTTAATAGAAAAATACAAGATTAAAAATATCCTAAAAAATAAAATGGCTGCATGGAATGTCATTTTTATACACAAAAAAAATCCCCTTTTGAATTGCATCAGCTATACAAACACTTTCATATTTACAGTTATGGATGCAGTCCTGTGCTCACTGAAGTTAATGGGATTTTGCCATTGACTTCACTAGAAACAGGAGCAGGCTTGACACGGACTACATCTGCCCCTCTGAAAAGTCATGGCAGTGGAAAGAAGAGTGTGGCAAAGCACATATAAGACTGAGGAATTAATCAGTCCTCTCCAGAGATCTGATTGTCTTCTCCGTCTCTATTTCACATGTGTGAAACTCCTCATCCTTCACTGGAGTTTTTCCTAAGTCCCACCAGCTAAGAGGGACAAAAAGTGCTTTGGATTGTGACACCACACAAACAAGGAAAGAATGGTTTGTGTGTTTCCACCTGCCTGACTTTCTCAGAGGAATTAGAACGAAGTGCCAGTTCTCTCCCAGAACTAAGGCCCGTACACCAACTTTCATATCCCCTGTTATCAATGTCAGTGATTCAGTGATGTAGGATCATACCCCAAACCAATCCCTTTTTTCCTTTTGACAGCAACCAGCACCTGTGTCTCTGAAACCATATTTGATACCCATGGGTGAGATACAAATATGGAAGGAGGTGGTAGAAGCTAAAAAAAAAAACAAAAACAAAAAAGGAACAAAATGAGGCATTCCCCATCAACTAAACCAACATCTGCTAGCCTTAATATATGCCTTAGGAAATACTGTTTTTACATATTAAGTACATCCTATAACATCAAACTGCATAATTTTCTTTTCTCATGAGATGAAAGGCCATGCGGCATAACGCGATTAGTAAATCATTCCTGAGCTTCTGAAAGAAATTAAGACAAAATTACTGCTTAAAGAGTGAGTTCTTCAAGAGCTTCTTCTTTTTACACTGATGTCTTTGGTTGTATCCTTTTCTCTAATTCTTTCTTTTCCCTAGGAAGAATGGGATTCCTTTTCATCTTCTTCTTTATGCAGCAGAAAAATGAGATCTAATGGAGTCTTCACGTAACTGCCGATGTTTCCCCATGTTACAGTCCTCCTGTTGAGTTCGTCTCTCAATAGTTATTCTGTATTTCTTTCTGCATGAAAGGAGAGGAACAGAATGAGAAATGCCTCTCCAACTACAGGCTAACAGACTTCCCCTATGAAGAATGCCTGTAGGGGACAGCTGGGTGCCATTTGAAAAATGAAACGTGGCAGAATGTGAAACCCTGGTCAAAGATTAAAGTAGTTTGCCTCAGAACATTTTACCCAGGCTCAAGAATGCCTGTTAATTTCTACATGGCAGTCTCAAAGCACTAAGGCACGGACATTTGCTTCTTTGAAAATTTCTGATCTAAGTGATTAGGAGTTTTTGTGAAGTGTCATGTGAACTGTGTTACTTCACTGCTTTATATTGATCAAAGCCAATTTTCTTTTCAGTATGCTGGGTGGGAGGGAACTTTCTGCAGAGTTCAAACAACAGCTCTGACTATTCAGCTGCGTTTCTCACTGAAACTATGTATTAACTAACTAATCTTCCCATTTCCCTCTGAGAAAGCGACTATGTTTGTAATGTCAGAGGAGGTAACATGATGAATTAAGAAGAGGGATGTAGAAGACAGATAAGAAATAAACACAAATGCTCGTGTATCAGACACAGCTCTTCCTGTGTGTCTTCCTCTAGGGCCTTTTGAAGAATTCTGCTGTACTTTGTATGTCAAACCCTCTGACTGCCTTTTAGTTTTCCCTTTAGTACCCAAATCTCCCCGCAAAAACCATCAGATGATTCACATTTACTTTTTATACGTTTCGGCTTCTCCTCAGTTTCAGGACAAATTTTTCAGAAAGGCATTAGTCCAGCCCCAAGTGCTTGCTGAGGAGATGCATGGCAAAAACCTTGTATGCCAAGGAAAGCCCTGTTCCACCAGCACAGGTAGCAGGAGTCACATGTAGGTATGCAGCAGTGGAAGAAAGATTTTTACAACACCAAGGTTTTGATTCAAGCAACATGGCTGAATAGAAAGGGGCAATCTAGAAGTTCTGAAAATACTCCCTCAGTACTTGTGTCTGTATCAGTAAGCTCCAAAATAACTTGAAATACCTGTGTTAATTTTTTTATGTCTTTTCGAGTCAGACGCTTACATGGGTCAGAGCATGCACAGCAGTAGCTCTTGCACAAGGACCAGTCCAGACTTTAGATATACAGGTGTTTAAATTAAAATCTGGTCAAAGTTATGCATCAGAACTACTCCCCAGACCCTTTAACTTTTGCATGCACACTCAAAACTGTATTTGTATACTCATTTGTGACAATTACATATCCAAATGAAAGGTAATTGTAAGGGTGTATTTACAGTTTAAAAGCTACAGAAGCTGCAAGTACAAATTACTTCAGGCACATAAATGCTAAACGAACATTTTCTGAAAATCTGACCCATGCACCCTGATTTGTTAGGTTTCAAATATTTATTCTCGTGGTGGAATAAGGAGGTTGTCCCTGCTCCTGCTTTAAGCAATTGCAATCAGATCTCCAGAGTGAAATTCACCCACAGGTCTACAGACATCTCCAACATATCCATCTGACAGCACCTGCAGGTTGCTTCAGAAAACACAGAAACAGGCCTCTTCTAAGAGACCTGGTTTAGCTTTTACATGAAGATGACATGAACTGCACAGACGAAAAGTGCTCATTTCTCCCCTCTGACCATACATAAAAAGAATGGGTTTTGAGCTCAGGTGTATTACATCTACTTCTACAGTTATCCACCTTTGGTCACATGGATTTCCAATCCAAATCTTTGTGTCAGATGAGTTTAAGGAGTTTAAATTCTGTTCTTACAGTGGTATTTTTCATAGCTTTATACCACACCAGGATATTTATTCTTTTATTTCTTGTCCTTACACACCCGTCCCTACACACCAATTCCTTCCCAACAACCCACACCTAACAACTGTCCTCTCTGGTTGAGAACCTGTGTAAGATGCAAGAATCTCTGATGACATAACATATAAAGACAGATTTTTATTCTCTTTTTCTTTTAAAGGTAGTCTTTATTCAGTCTAAGACAACTTAATTGTATATCAAAATCCAAAAAACACACTGAACATACACAAGAATAAAATCACCCTGCAGAATTTCAGTTGCAAGTACCTGATTAATAAGCTTGGTTCTTTGAAACCCTGAAATGTCCTGATGAATTGAAGCAAGATTTGCTTGTTTTATTTTGTTAACATTTTTTATAAACAGTTGTTTTTTAATTGACAGAATTATTTGATTCTTGTATGCAGAGTTAATTCTATTCTCCTATCTGGCTTTTCAATAGTAGGAGGATAAATTACTGTATACATAAGGTGCTGAAAATGTATAACTAATTTATTCCATCAGTAGAGGATCAATTTATCAAGACTTTACATTTGCTGACTAACAGTCTAAGAATTATTTAACTTAAACACGAATAAAACACTGATCACCCTGCACTGACCTCAGCTTATTAAGTTAAATGCACAGCTCTGGAATCCAAATGCTCTCTTACACCAAAACAGAAATCTCTTTCTGTTCTGCAGTACAATTCCTTTCAATACCAGGCAAATGATATAAATCTCTTGCAGATCACAGCCTGCACAACTGTGCTGGCATGGAGCAGCAAACAAAGGCAGCTTTCAAGGCCAGGGCACTTTACTAAAGCAACTGTGAATGTCTGGAACTCACTGGAATTACTTCCATGAGTAACATCACTTAGGGTGTAAGTAGTTACAGGATGAATACCCAAGTCAGTAAAATTATTTGAATAAACACAAAATGACAATCAAAGTGTGTTCAGTGTCTCTGGTGAAAATGTTACCACACACTATTATGATGTCTCTGTGTCTCACATCAAGAATGTTCTCCAGAAGCTGACAAGTCTGGATGACAAATAAAAAGTTTACAGAACTTTCAATGAATTGGACTAACCTGAAGAAGTAAAAAGCCATTAGCAATCCTGCTCCAAGCAAGGCGCCCACAACTATTCCTGTAACTGCTGATTCTCCTAGACCACCTGCTTGAAAAGGGGAAAAAGAAACAATCAGGGTTTATATTAAGAACTATCTGCACTCATGTATTGGAAAACACACACAATTAGGAAATTGGTGACAAACACTAGATAATAACTAAAGCCTTTTAGAGCTCAGAACTCCATGGGAACCTGTGTCTGCATGTTTACTTTTTGTCCTTGCTTTCCTTGGGGCTGAAAAAGCCCCCAAATCAGTACCAGATGAAGGCACAATTCTGGAGATGTGATACAAGGGAATATTGTTAGGTAACTGGCTAGGACAGCTTGGTTTGAATCATAACATTGACCATGGTTACATGATGCACATAATGGGCATCGGCACTGAATATGCCTTGAAGTCACTGTAACAGAAACAAGCTCATTTTACCTAGATTAGAAGCATAATCCCCAATCACCCAGGTTTATTAAAATGACTATGATTATCCAACAGGTCCTCAATTTTTTCTAATTTCCTGAAGATATGTTGTTTCAAGTTAAAGCCATATGACTTTTGACTTGCTTCAAACCTCAACAGAGGCAGAACAGAAACACAGTGGCTGAAGGGGAGCCCAAAAAGGGACTGTCTCTGGGAAGTTCAGGGAAGAACAATGGCATTTTCATGTGCATGTAGTCTACTCCCACTTCCATTCCCACCTGGGTTTGTGGAAAGGAACAGAGAAGGCAATCAAACTGCTCCCTCCTTTTCCTTCATCCTTGACCCTTTGAGGGGATTTTGTCTGTACAAAAGGAGGAAGGTGCACAGCTACACCACACTGAAGCAGATAAATCTGCATTCACACCAGTTTTTCAAGGGTTCAAGAATTATCAGGCTGGAGTTACCTTTTCACTGCAGGACTAGAAATTTGTCTCCTGTGAAAAGTTAAGACCACCTTTTGTCACTGAAGCATCAGTATCCTCCTACCCCAATCTCCCTGTGGTGTCCTACTCACTACAACACAGTCTGTGATGTCAAGTGTGCTGGAAAGAATGGACACCTGCCCTTTGGAGAGTAGTCTCAGCCTTCTGAATTCACAGATGTCACCGCATTCAACTGTCATCACTTCTCCTCGGCCTACTGAGCCCCTCACAGTGCCTTCTCATACCACTGAAAATCATTCTGCACTGGGAGAACGCTGCTCCCACTGGCACAGCTGCCAGTTATCAGTGTGATTATTCTCTGCTGGGGTTTCAGTTACATCCCTCTTTCTGGCTAAAAGGCTCCTGCAAAGACCTAAGGCCTCCAGGGCTCTGGCCTGTGCATGATTACTGTTATGTTTAAATTCAGGGAAGTGATTCAGACCATGTACTACCCACGGCTGTCAGACCTTAACCTCCCAAGCAGTTGGGAGAGAGAGAGAGCCAGTCACCACGTCTCAGTTGTACAACTGTGCTGAACAATTTAATATGGCCCATTAAGTTGCAGAAACTCATGGATTCTCCTCTTTGGAGCTGGTGCAGAGGCATTAAGTCACTAAACTTACATGATTTACACGGTGTATTGTTCGTGTGCTCTGAAACTCTGCTTTCATCTAGGCGCAGCCTGCCGTGGTTCCACGGGTATTTCACATTCGATCGGATTTCAAACCGCCCCTGCTTTCCATAGTAGTCCCCGATCACCTATGCAAAACAAGAAAGGGATGAAAAGATCTTCCTATCAGTTTGAAACAAACAGGAGAGAAGCATCACTCACTCGACTGCTGCGGCATGATGTTGAATGTCAGAGAAGAGGGCTGAAGGGGTCTGTGGGAGGTTATGTAGTTCGTGCCCTGCCCTCGGGCAGAATCAGCTGAACAAAAGCATTCCTGACAGATGTTTATCTAATCTGTTCATGAAAGCCTTCAGAGATGGAGACTTGACAATTTCTGCACCAATTATTCTGGAACTTAGCTAGCCTTACTGTCAGTTGTTTTCCCTAGCATGTAAAATAAAATTCTTTTTTTTGTAATTATCCATCACTTGTTACCAAATTGTCAGTGGTCATAGAAACCCTTCCTTTCTGAAACACTGCTTTTCATAATCACAGGCTTTTATCCGATTCTGCCCTCAGGCTTCTCTTCTATATAAATCCAGTTTACACTAGCTTTTTAACCTTCTGAATAGTTCTCCTACTCTCCCTGGGCTTTTGTTAATTTGCTCCATAGTGAGTTGAGTGCTCAGGATTGTCACCCAGCTTCAGCCCAGAGTCCTGACTGGGCATGAACAGACCCAGAGCAGCCCTGCCCAGAAGGACTTGGGGGTGCTAGTGGGTGAGAGGCTGGATTTTTTCATACCAATTCTTGGTATGAATTCAGAATTTCAGTCCTGTCTTCAGCAGTTTAAAGATAACTTATGTGGAATCTACTGTAGCAATATGCCTGAAAACACCTATGTACAGCAGCAGGACCATATACTGTGACAGTGAAGTGGTCAGAAGCAATAGCAGAACCACATCAATAGATCTATTTGTCCTCCCACAGATAAAACCCAGATATTAATACACTAGGTTTAAAATTCATGCATACCCTCTTCAAATCTTTCACCTGAATTTCATTTTGAAGCCAATGACTTTAAAGAATGTTTCCTCTGGTTAAATACACAAAGGTATATTTTAGTCTAAATAAAGACACTTCTTTCTCTTGCAGTTGAAACTGGGATATAAATCTTTTGAAGAATGAATGTGTTCAACATTTGTCCAAAAATTAAGGCAAATCGAGTAAACTGGAAAAAATAGAGACTATTCACAGGCACCAGATTATTTATTAAGAGATTGTTTAATTTATCAAGCAGGAGTGAGTGAGTCCTCTACGAGCACAACTTACTGAATAAGAAAATAAGCAGAATGGGTTCAGAACAAAAAGCTGTAAGCAGGAGCCACATGGATTCAGATCAGAAGTAGGATATAGATTTTTCAAGAGCAGGAGTGGTTGATCTGTGGAACAAATACTGAGGGCACCAGCAACAAAGTCCCTGTCCTTTCAGTGTCTCCAAACCGAAAATAAATGCCTGTTACAACATGAGCTTTAGTCACATGTAAACTACAGGTCTCCATAAAGGTTAAGAAACCTGCCCTTGTCTAATATAGCATAGGTCAAACAAGGAAATCCAGGTTTTCCTCTAGCTTTAAACTCTGTGAATAGACCTGGGAAAACAGCTCTGCCCAAACACCCATCTGTCTGTCACAGTTCAGCTGAGAAACATTCTCATACACAGAAAAAAATCATCCAGATGAATAGAACAAGTTGTCAAAGAAACAATATTTTTAGAGTGAGGCATGTAGGTAGAAATTATATGGCAGACAAAAGTAGTAAGCAATCACGTGTAAAATGTTAATTGCATATATATTTATGTACCTAATACAGCAGAGGGAAATTCCACAATAAGCTAAAAGAATAAATGGAACATTAAAAAAAAATAGTTTAAATTGCAAGTGAAAGAGCAACAGAAGGAATGGTAAGAGAGGGAAATTAAATTGATAAATGTGACAAAAGGCTACTGGGCTGAACAAACAGAACACAAATTGTTCATACCAAAGTTATCCCAACCATTTTGTACTCCTACTGCCCCTGGGAGTGTCTGCAGTTTACTGCAGCGCCTGCAGTGTAGTTTTTATATCACTTTTACACATTACAACACACAAGACATCCTCAGACTTTTAAAAGGGCTCCTTGATTTTTTTCTCTGCTGCAGTACCAAGAACAATATAATCTCACTGGACTCAAAACCACACATTGAAATGTTCAGCTCAGATATTGCTACGTTTTGTTTGAGCTTGTTGAAATTAGGTAGACCAGCAAAGCTGAGACTGATGCTGATTTTGCAACTAACAAAAGCATCCTCTGCAGCTGGACTTAGGGCACTGCATGTATTAATAAACTCAGCCCAGACATGCTATTCTCTGTGTGCAGCTGGTGCTGTTTCTCACAGACTTTTTCACAGTCCATCTCTTCCAATCCCTCTACATTTAGTGGAAAAACCTATCTGGTACATATGGAGCCATCTGATTAATATGTTTCTTAAACGCTGAAAAGAAGGCAAGTCAGGAATGTCTGCCTGACAAACAAGGCCAGGCAAAGTCTGCACTCCTGCTTGTGGCCGACCACAGAGTAAGATTCAAATACCTGTACTTCTGTGTTAAAACATCAGGACAATTTGTGCATCACTGTTGCTGTAAGATTAATCTTTCTTTCCAACAACGAATAAAAAGTCTTGCTCATTTTTAAACAATGATTTCCCTATTCAAAATTAGCGGTGCTTAGCCAGCTTGTGAGAATCCACTCTTTAGTTAAAGCCTAGCATGATGTGAAGCTGTATTGTTAAAGAAAAGAAGGAAGTTAAAAAAACTTGTTATAACTACTTCAAGATAGCTATTTTACAGAAAGGATTTGGTCTTTAAGTTGATAAGATTAAACCTCCAAGTAAAGAGATGATATCATGTTACTTTACACTGAATTACTAATTCATCAGTGGCCAATTGCAATCACGTTTGTTTCCTTACCTCCTGTGTGCCTGCCTCCGGGTCCGTCATTCCAATCACAGAGAAATCCCCATATCTGTCTCCATTGGCATCAATGGACACCTGCCCTGCAATGCCTAAAGAATGGCATGTGAGGAATCAGAAGATTAATTAGTTAAAATACTGAGCCGTTCCAAGCAAAACATGAAAACAGTGGACAGGTTTTTGCAGACCGATAGGACAGGAAATCTCATCAGTCTCCCTGCATTTTTGTTGGCATTCCAGAAGAAATTGTAATTTCATCTCGGTGTCTGCATTCCTGAATTCTTAACATTTCTCCTTTTTAAATATTAAACGTGTGAAACTGGTGAATATGCGAGAAAAATCTAATGCAAAAATGAGCATGTAAGACTAAAACACAGATACATTTAATGTGAATTATTTACAGAGAGCCTAATCCTGAAATATCTGATGACGCCTCATTAAAGAGAGTCCAGTTCATGTGGACACAGAGGCAGAGATATAGGCTGAAAGGCCTGCTGCACCCATATAACCAGTCCAATGCTGATTCCACCCAATGGAATACTGGAGATGGCATGGACAAGGGGCATCACATGCACTACAAATGCATTAAGCCCTGCATTCACATACTTAAGATTAACTACATAATACTTGCAGTTTGGTTTATATTCTTAGAGCCCCATTCCACTTCCCTGTTTTACAATTTCTAGAAAACTTTGGTGAAACTGGGACTCGTTGATTCATAGGATATGTCAAGTTTGAAGGGCCTTTGAAGATCTTGAGCCCAACCTCCAGCTCAGAGCAGAGTCACCCAGGATAATGCTCAAGGTTTTATCTGCTCTGCAAAATCTCCAAAGATGGACACTGCACAGCCTCACTGGGGAAACTTGTTTGATCTGTCATGGGAAATTAACACATCCTTGGATTCAATCTAAACTTCTTTTTAAACATATGTCTGTCCTTGTGTGCAAAAAACTTGGCTTCAAATTCTCAAGGTATATGTCAAACAGGTTCTTAAAATCTACCACACAATACTAATTAACTATGGTGAAGACATCTTAAGACTGCTGATGCACTTTTTCACCTCAGATATTCTCAAATGATCCTCCACTGCCTGACACCAAACACAGCCAATTACACCCATGCAAGGCAAACAGGCATCATTGTACATTCATGTTACACCAACCACATGCCTAGACCAGGCAGAAAGCCCTGGAGATTCAGGCTCTCAGTGACAGTCAATCAGAAAAGACAGGTCAGATATTCAGAGTATAAATTTCTCCCAACATGCCTAGTGATAGTGAGTGTGCAACAGACTTAACACACCTCCATTTATTCTGTATCTGTTCAGATTTAGTGATGACAGCAGTATTTCAGCTCACTGTGGTTTTCAAAACATGTAGTGGTAATCAAAGATTATTGCCAAACACCTATTTCATTACAGCAACACAGTAACCAAGCCGCTGTCAATTCAACTACTGCAGGGAAATCAAATGGGTGTAACAAGCACTTGGCTGTGAGACATTGAAAGAAGAGGCCACTGAAGAACTGTGATGTCCCTGCTTACACATCAATTTGGATTCTGGATCTGACAGGAGGCACTAACTGGAACAGATGCTTTTGTGACCTAAGACAACCATAATTCAGTTTTTGCGAAGAGGTATCAAAATTGAAACCTAGAGTTCCTACGGGATTTTTTTTCAGTCATAAAAGATTAATTTCTCAATTTTTCATCTCAATCAGAAATATGAATTTTAAAAGTTGCCATTTCCTGTGATTTCCTTAAGAAATGGAGGTAGGAAATTTTGAAACTACCTTAATGAAGAATTGCATTTGCATGAAGGTGGGATTATTTTATCTCAACTTTCTGGAGTTTTTTTATGTGAGATAGCTACATACAAAAAATTTTGCTACTTTTTCAGAGGAAATGCCCATGACTAGCAAATATTCTCCACCAGATGTGACCTGAAGCTGTACCATGCTCTCTTTAGCAACTCAATCGCTAAGAAATCCTTTGATCACCCCATCCTTATCCTTTCCTAAGCCCATAATGTCTGTGCAGCTGTGACAGGCAGATGGAATTCTGCAGGAAGCAGCATCTACATTCTGTTGGGAGTCCTGATAAATCAGAGCAGTCTGTAAAATGAGGTACCAAGACAATCAGATGTTAAATATGTCAGAAGTTAAAAGAATGTCATTAGGGAAACTGGAGTTCTCATTATCAAGGCCTGCAAAAGTCAAAAGGAATTACAAAGCTTCAGTCCTGCAGCAGAACCTGATGGGTGTCCATGAGCCATACTCTGTGATGCTGCATCCACTGCAAAGAGGGGCTCACAGGCAGAATAAAGTGATGGGATCTTCATTAAGGGACTGGATTGTAAGACACTGAGTTAAAGGCCTCTTTCAACATAAATTTTATTGTCCAGCAAAGTACTGCCACAGTGAGGAAAAGGCATATGACTTACAAGAATTTTTTACCAGCTGCACCCTCAGCTGTAGCCCAACTCAGCTACATTTTCAGAACAGGTGGAACAGGTCAGCTACCAGCAACACTCTGGTTTTCACAAATGGGGAAAGAGAACATTGTTTCCTCCTGCCAGGTTTTACAAGCAAGGTGTGAGAATCAACCATGTAGCCCAGGTGGAGCACATGGTACTACAAAGGATGCATGGGCACACCAGTTGGTGGCTTCCTGGAGCACAGGAACAGGAGCAAACACAGGCTGATCTGGGGCATCTGCTCCTGCACAGCACAAACAAAGAGGCAAATCCTTAGACACCAGACTCCCTCCCTTTTAAAACAGAGCGTTTTGGGGAGCCACAGACATGAAGAGATATAGTAGGATGCCAACCACAATGTACAGATGGTGCAGGGCTGCTTATGGGACGATTGCAATCAGCATAATTTAAAGCAATCCCTTGTTTTAAAGTGCTTAAGTGCTCCCTTAAGCTGCCCTGAGTATTCTTTTGCCTCATGTTCACATCACAATTTGAGAACAGAAAATTGGTTTGGAGCTTCTGCCCTTCTTGCCTCCCTACTGCGTCCAATATGTTCTTAGATCTGAGAACCTGGCTTCTGGGGTTTTTCTTACACATTCAGATGAATCATTCACTTTTTATCTAGGGGAAATGTTTCCTTCTCTCAGGCATTTCCAGAAGAAATCTTGCCAGTCCTACATCAAATGATTGGACTATCATACGAGATGGATGGAAGTATTTTAAGAGACGACAGATGAAACCAATACTCTTCAGTTTCTCTATTACAATTCTTACCTGGCAAAAGCATCTGCATTGCCTTGCATCAGCAAGGTGACACACAAGTGCCAGCTGCACTGCAGAATTGCAGCCTTGAGGATTAGGCACAGAAAGGCACAGTAGTGTTCAGCTGCTGCCTCTGAGACAATACACATAGCTCCTGAAAGGAGGCTGGGGGAAATCCTTCTAGGGCCCAAAGGAATCCCATTGAGAAACACAAAATAGCCCCAACCCTGGCACCTGCTTGCTTCTATCCATTCCCAGGCTTTCAAGATAAAAAAGTGAAATGGAAAAAATGAGGCAATCTGAGAGCTGATAGATGAACATGAGCAAAGCGAGCAGCTGTAATCTTTTCAAAAACAAAAAAGGAGCCTGAGAAAATTATTGGTATTTCTTTAAAACATCAGTGAAGGTCATGAAATTGTTAAGAGTTTTTTGAAGTGAGTCAAGACCTTGACAGTTGATGCAAAAAATAAGACTGGTGAGATTTGTGAACCAGCCTTTAAGATGCACATGGTTTCATATGTTTGCCTTCCTCTCTCTTAGGAGTGAAATAAGCATGGGTCCTTACTTTGCACAGAACAAAAACCTGAAGTTTTTTGACCCTGAAAGCTGGAATTCCATACTAACTCTTACCTTCATATGTTCTGTTCCGTGTTTGCTGAACAATTTTTTCCCCATCTTTCTTACTGAAACCAATCTTCAGGACTTCCTGTAAAGCTAGAGCATAAAGAAGAATAGCATCATGGAATCCTTCCACAAACATGTTCACCTAAAAAGAAAGAAGAAAAAAAACCAATGGCAATTGACACATAACAAATTTTTTCTTTCCTAGGTAATTGATTGACTAGAGAGAATCTACAAATTAACCAAAGTGACTAATTTGGAGAGTTACTTTCTCAGCTGCTGGAACAGAAAGGAATATGTCTCAAAAAAACCTCAGGGGAACAATGGGAACTTCTGACCCATTTTTAAAAACAGTTAACCACTATCTGCTCTTCTGGACATTCATAATGTTGTGTCTGAATAGTTCTCAGATAGGAGCAAAATTCACAAATCCCAGTTCCCATGCCCAGAGGCACAAATTCTGCACTTGACCATGTGAGATTCTGTTAGGTGCTGAGCACCCTCATCCCACAGCAGCAAGTATAACCCCCGCCCTCTGCACAGGGGACTTGGCACCTCTCAGGACTGGGAAGTATGTTCTCTCATGATTTTTTTTGGACTGGTGGATTTGCTTGTTTAATGATTACTACTTCCACTTCTGGCCCTTGTTCAGCCAAGCATCTCTCCACTAGCAAATAAGCAATGGAGAAAACTACTTACCATCCCCAGTAATGTGTTCTCTGGAACTGCCAGAAGAACCTTTTCCTGTCCTTTATAGCTTTCTCAGTAAGTTACACAAAACAAATGAAATAACCCTAATAACCCTAACCCTGCTTTACAACCCTAACACAAAAGAAGATTGCTGCCAATGAACCTTCATAGGCAACCTACAATTTTTGGTCTGTGAGTTACATAAACAGTTAAAACCCAAGTGCTGCATAAACATCACAAATTTTCTCTCAGGAGCATGACGTGCTTCAGTGGTGAAGCAATAATTATTTCAGGAATGGAGTTCAGACCCATCAGCAGAAGCTGATGCAGAATGACCAGAGCAGCACAGGCGTTCCTCTTCTGCAGGCAGCAACTCACATTTCAGCAGTGCAATGTACTCACTAAAAGCATAGTAATTCAGAGCTAATTAACTTTTCAGCTGCAAGAAAGATGTTCCCATCCACTCAGAGTTTCACTGCAATAAAAAACTCCTTGTATCCCAGGAAAGGTGTTAACCACATTATGGTTACACCTTTATGGGTCTCTTACTGCCACTTCCAGTGAACCACTCATCTCTACAAATATTCTCCTGGACAGAAGTAACATTTAGCTTATCTTCTGCTTCAGTGTATCTAAACAATTTTAAATGCCAGTAAACGAAGTGCTACTCTAACTCTCACAGGTTTAGCTGGACATTCAAAAAGTTACAAGAAAAAACATGTGGCCAGTTAACTAAATAACTGTTCCACAGATAAGAAGTATTACATAGTTGATTGGCTAAGCTGAACTAATCAAACCCTGATAGTGTAATTACATCCAAGACATTCCTTCACTCTCAAAGCAGCTGCCAACAGTAAGGAAAATTTTACTGAAAATTTAACAGTTTACATTGCTCTGACATTTAAAAGTGGACTTTCAGTAACTCCAACCTATGCTACAGTTGAATGCATCACATTCATCACAGGGAAGAGCCCGTGGTGCTACAGGAGGGGCAGAACAGTTCAGCTCACTCTGACAGTCACTGACTAAAGGGCAGCTGGAGTTATTCTGAACTAAAGAGAAAGCCTGAAAGAAGAGGTGAAAGTCAGGCATTTGACAGAATAAAAAGAGCTCCTGGACAAAGTGCACACTAGGACAGGCTTTGCCAGCAGGGGCTTTAACTTTTCAGAATTTAAAAAAACCCAACCAAACCAAGAAACCACAAAGCTCGACAACTGCGTCGTGTGCCAACGTTAGAGTCCAAGTGGCCTGTGGAAGATCAAACTTCAGCTTTCTTAATGTGACATTCTTTCTCTCAGGAGAGAAATTAGACTCTCCAGAAGCTATACCTCCCTGCTGGCTGATTTACAGTTTGTGGCTGGCATTTGTTTCAAGGAAGGCTTGTCACTTCTTTTCAAGGAAGTCTTTGTCACTTCTTTTGTCCACGACAGAGACCTCTCAGTGTAACACAGCAACCTTCAAAATCCATTTTGTCAGCTAATTTGCTCAACCTGACATCTACTCATGCCACCAGCCTGAAAAGACACTGTAGATTTGCCAGATAAGCCCTGTCAAAACTCATTTGGCAGTTTGGAAGGTTACTGCCACAGTGTCTTGCCAAAGCTCCACTTGGCCAAAACCCCTTCTATTACATGTGAAAAATCACATTAGAAAATCATCAGAAAGTCATTTATGCCACTGCTCAGTTGCTCACAGCCCAGCATTTTAGCTCATGTTGTCAAGGAAGCTGAAACTATGGACAATTTATGCCATTTAAAATCTTCTGACAGAGTTGTAATTATTGTTTGCAGATGGGATTGCACTTACACTCCCCAGCCAAACCATATGCTGGACACACCTGAGACTTTTCACATTAATCCAGGAACACATTTAAGCAGCAGTTCTTGAAAGGTGATACAGGATTCCATGAAGGGAATAAGGTTTTCCTGCATATCATCTTGTTCAATCACTCGTAAGTTACCACTATTCCACACAGACCACAGGCTGCATGATGTGTAGGACAGAGGAATAGTAAAATGTGAAGTAACTGCTGCAAAACTTTTTGAAGGGTTTGCTCTTTGCTGCAGGAAAAGCATTAAAAAGGGCTAGACTATAAACTTACATTCCAGGAATGCTTCAAATAGGAATGAGAGCAACTGTGAAGATGTCTTCACAGGCTGCTTGATGGTGTCCATGGTAATTAATAATGTGTTAGTTCAACCTTAGACACCTGCAGGATAAAAACTGAACAGAGTATAAAATCTATTAAAGGCCCATTTATCTTATTGGTAATTTAAAGTTATTTTAGTTGACCAGCCTGTTTTTATTGTAGTGTTTTCCATTTTCATTCAAGCTGCCTTTCAATTACAGGTGTGAGCAGAGATCCAAATGCTGTGATCACAATTTGCACGTCAGAGCTACTGAAACATTGCTGTCCAGGGCCAGCAATGTGGCAGCAATGCCACTGGCAGCAGAGAAGCTGCCAGGTTTGCTGAACATCTTTGGAGGCTGCAGTACAAATGTGTGGAAACCTCTCTCTCAGCTATCTTCTGTATTACTTTCACATTCTATTCTAATACCATACACCTAAAAAGCAAGTATGCCAACTGCATAGGTGAATAAGACATATACCCCTTTTATCTTCCTGCCTTTCTACTCTAATTAATCATCTTCTATCAGAAAAAAGAAAACAACCAAAACCCAACAACCCCTCTCAGTGGAAATCACATGCATAAATTTTACCCAGTTCGAAGTTATAGTTCCCCAAGCAGCAATATTGTGACCACACTGCTCATATATACCAAGGTGTTAACAGCACACACAGCAATGCAAAATACTACCGATGTGGAAGACAGCCAAGATACAGCTATGCAGGGCCCATAATTTTCCATATCCTGCCTACTGACTGTAAAATAAGATTATTCTCCTGCATCTGGAACTGCCCAGCTCTGAATCACCGCAGTTACAGCAATTCATACCACTTCCATGCTTACAGGGAGCATCATTCACCATCACTTTTTTATATTGAAAAGGCAAACAACGTCTCCCACACTTGGTCTCTGCATCTCCTTTCCAGTACATCCATAGTGATAGTCAAGTTGTCAAACTATGGTTTCAGCAAAGACCCTGGGGAACTGCAGAGGGCTGCACCCAGACATTTTGCAAAAATGTTTTGTGTATCTGATAGTAATGCTCCTACTTCTCACTCTGTCACACTGTATCTCAAGAGAAGTATTTTTCTAAGCAGCTGCAATTTAACTGTCAGTTCTCCCCTTTTAATCCTCTTTCACCAAGCCAATTATAATTATAGTCCCTTCTTTATGAGCTTTCCTAAGAAGTCCTGACATAACTAACTTCTCTCACATGCATCTTGACAAATATTTTCGGTTGTCTTCTGATGACTCACTATCCACTTAACTCTACAGCAGGGATTTCTTTCTTTAATACCATTTGTTGATGTTGCATATTCCCATTCAGGACACTGCCAGAGATCATGCTGTTTTAAGTGTTTATTTATGGTCCTGAGATGGTCAGAGGCCTTGAGTAGTTCTTTGATCAGTTGCTACACCTTGCTCTGAGCAGCACAAATCTAGAAAAAGGTGCTCATGATTCTCATACAATAGATGATCAAAATATAGAAATTATTCATGTTTAATTTTTTTAAATATAATATATCATTACTACACATTGATTTTGTGTTAAACTTCTAGTTTACATAATCCCAGTGAGAAACTCTGGGAGGAACTGAGGAACTACCACCCTAACAGGATTATCAAAGTTTTCACTAACCCACCATCCATCTCCTCAGATCCCCACAGGATTTCTTCATTTGATTCTGCAACAGAAACTCACGGAGCTCCTGAATATAATCTATGGATAACGGCTAGGTAATGCTGACATGCACTGGGACTGGGATTTCAAGGACTCCCAAGCACACCAAATGCAAAGCCATGGGATATGCCAGTAGTCAGCTGTCATAAACAGCATGTCTTGGGGTGCCTACAGATAAGAGATGCATCACTGTGGAAACAAAGCAGGAACTGGAAAGGAGAATAAAGCTAAAAGACAGTTAATCAAATCTGAATGTTTAGATGCCTAAAATGAAAAATACAGACTGTTTGCTTGGGCAGCCATAGTGCTCCCTTACTGGACCAGAGTGCCTCAAACAAACAGTAAGGAAAAGGAAAAAATAATAGAAGCACATGCTTTCTTCCAAGATGGCAATTTCCACAATAGTTAATTAAAAACGAAAAAATATATGGTATTACACCAAACTCTGGGCAACACAGCTGTAGCCAAGGAGAGCGTCACACTGTATTCACTGATATCCAATCTCTATAAATACATAAATGGGCACCTGCTCAAGAACATGAGGCCAGGGCTCAGGACTTGGTTTTCTAAAGATATATCCAAACCCACTTTAATATTTGGGGCTGGAACTCACATGTCACTTTAGGAAAAGAGGAAGAGAATAAT